CAACGTGAGATGCCTCGTTAAGGCTTGAAAATTAAGTTTTAATTCCAATTTGCAGTGTTAAAAATAGGGCCGTATGCTATCCTTCCCCGAAGCTAGGCGATCCAAAGTTTCCTTTAAATTTATTTGTTTTGAACGATATAGTTTCTTCATTTTCCAGTGCATGTTTACTTTTACCTACATACATACATTAAATGTAGGCCCTTCATCAGGGCAATCCCAGTTGGGAAGACAGAGAAAATTTAAAGGATTTTCGTCCCCTAAAGCCCTTCGGGGATGAAGGAGAATGGGTGGGATAACAACGGCCAAAGTTCGTTTCGATCCATCCCGTACTTCCAAGTCAAAATAGGTGCAATAATCTGTTTCGTACCTCTCAATACGGGAGATTTCGGCGCTGCCAAAATCCGAAATTGCAAACCTTTAGCTGGCACTCTTCCTGAATCGACACATTGTTTACCTCATTTTCATGTCCAATTTTTCAGATCGATTTGGGTAGCATTATCGATCGGCTCTATGCTTTGGACGATCACTCGGTGCTCTGTCAATGTTCGAATACGATGTATCGCATCACCTCGCCAGTTATACGGATCGCCTGAGCAAGTGATATCAATTTTCCTAATTTCTGTCGGTTCATTTCCTTTTCTTTCGCTCTGCATTCTATGCTGAATAACGAATCGTCGCGATTTTTTGTTGTTTTTTTTGTTTCCTTACCTTACCTTACTAGTAGTGAAGTAGAACTTAAGCACTGTAAATTTTTTAGCCCTTCATTCATGTTGCATTAAATTTCTATGCATTTGATCTAGTCCTGCGCATTCCCTCACCACTATGCCATATTCAGTATTCACTTAATCTCTTGCCCCATATGATTGCTCAAATGTCATACCTTAAAAAGGATAAATATCTATTCAATTTGTTTCGAACGTTCCATGTCTCAACTCTGTTTCTGCAGTTGATACTTAAAGTGTTTATTGTTTGTAGAGAAACAAGTAGATTTCGAAACATTTTTTTCTGTGATATCTGTGACGAGTTGCAGTGATGGAATTTGGCGACTATCGTTTTGAGCACTTTTTACATGGACACAAGGATCAGCTGGAAGCGGGTGGGATTCCACCGGAGCTGTGGGGCAGTCTTTACTCGAAACTAATGCAACAGGTTAGTGGAAAAAGTGTAAGCCAGGGGATAACTATGCGTTCGGACAATCCGAGCAGGATCGTTTTTTGGAACCAGCATGATTTTTTTCTACAATTTTCCGGAGAATACCTGGTGTGGGTGAAATCGCAGAATTTGTCTTCATACTTTCTCTCACCTGATGGGGATTTTGGGAAAAATTTTGGGGCAGGATTGGAGTGTGTCACCTGGACTCAGAATCAAATGCAATTCTCCAGAAACCGAGATTTTGACCCTGGCATCTGGTAGAAGAATATATGGTAGCTTGACTCACAGTGCCGTCCTGGTATTTTTAATACTACCACACAATTACAGTCTCTGTGGAAAGAAAAAACTAGAGGAAGGTCGCATCTCTGAAGGTAATTGGAGAACCTCATTTTGAGCATGTCCTCAGTTTCGCCGCTCTTGTCAAAGAACATCGAAAGTTCGACTCGTAGTTTCCCAAAAAAATTTTGGAAGCCTAACTTGAAGAGGTCCCAAGCAAATTCCGATAACGTACGGCATTACTTCTAAGCCGGCTCAAATGAGTACGCAGGACGCTGAGCATTCCATAGGTTTGGTTTGCTTGGTAATGGAGGAGTACGGTGAAACTTGCAAGCAGACATGTTCATTACTAATACCCAAAATGATTGTATTCCTTCAGAACACCAATTTTTGGCAAGGCCGGCCTTTACTTACTAAATAAGCAAGGAGGTACTTTTGAAACAGTGCAGAAGGGAACTCTCTTACCAACGATTCCGACACCTGGCATACAGATGCAATACCATTCACATATCCACTGGAAGAATCCGAATCCTCAGAGCGGATAATGGACATGTTGGGCTGAGTGGTCAAAGTATAGCTTCGAAAAATGTCCGCGAGTTCTTCTGTAGCATTGTAAAGCCGCGTAATAACTGGCAGATTTTTAATAAATCCGCATTCGCATACATGATCTACCACCGGTCACCCTGCGCCTTACATTAATCGTTCTGCCCATCTGGAGACTTGTACGGCCGCTGTTTTCCCTCAATAGGGAAGCTTTTGTCCGTTGAATACTAGTTAGCGATGGAAGATGTGATATCGCGTAATGCGTTCTGGTACTCTCAACCGTGTGTAGAAAAGTGGAGTGTTGCTTGTTCCAACCGGTCGTCATGGTCGCAGGTCAAATCCTGTACAGAGTCTAAGCCCATCATTCCAATCCTCCATGGTGGGATAGATGATGCCAGAGTTTATGGGTGCAATTTCGAATGAAACTGCATTTTGAAATGAGCTCGAACACCGCCATGCAATTTGTATTCAAAAATAGAACTTGCAGTAAACCGTTCGTGTAAAAGAAGGAAAGATAAGCGGAAAGGGTAGAGGAAGATCCAAATAAGTAATTGGGTGCGTTTTTACGGCAAAATGCGCGCTGTCAGCGGTGTGTTGAAGCGCTGAATGACCTCTGCATTTCGCCGGCTCTCAAACGTGCCCACTGCCGGCACGTGGAAGGGATGGCAGCGGCAATGTGGTTGGAATGAATTCGTGACAGCTATCGTCCCAACTCGAGCAATGACGATGTGCTTAGTGCATGTAAAGTTAATTGTTTAGACTTTCGATGCGGGAAATTATTTCCGAATACTGTGTGAGGAGACAGATGAAGGGCGCAACTGGAGTGTTTTTGCTACAAGAGATCTTCACCCAGTTGATGAATACAAGTGCGTTATGTTCAGCGTCATGATTTTTTCCACTTGTTTTACTATTTTACACTGATTCTTGTGTTTTCCTTTAGTATCTTCCTCATTGACCATGCTTGGACATTCCGTCCACATCAAGCACGAGCTCAACTCGAGGAACATCCACAACTAGCTGATCGAATGGCCAGATTGCTTGATCTTACTGTAGGTCGTGGTAATTCGTTATTGGTCCGAACGCACTCCGCGATGTGGTTCTTGCAATAATTTCCTCTGTGAGGGCTGCGCTAAAACAATGAGGCCACACTGCTGCTAGGAGAGGGCACAGGCGAGATAGTTTGTCGATCGAGAGAACGTAGACACCAAAGACACGTGCTGGAGAGTTGGAGAGCGGAGCATCAGGTGCAACCCCTCGCGCAACCTCGTTGTCGAGCAGTTCTGAGTCGCCGCTGTGGCGCTACCTTTGCGAATCCAACTATGGTGTAACTGGATCTACAGCCGTAAATGTCGTGCCACAGCCGCGACTCAGAAGTGCCCGACAAAGGCGCCAGGGGTTGCTTACCTGATATGATTGCGGCTCTCCAACTCCCCAACACGTTTACTGTCTGTGACCTCTCGTTCGACGTGCTATCTCGCCTGTACCCTCTCTCTGCTGCAGTGTGCCTCGTTGTTTCACGCAGCTCTCTTCACTGAGGAGGAGACTTTCATTTCGATGGTATTGTCGGCTTTTTTTGTTCCTATCGCTGCTTCCTTTTCACATTTTCGTTTTTTTTTTTCGAGAACAGTAACTGCACCCAGCCGATCGCAGGAGTGTCATTAATTCATTCACTGAATTTTGTTTCAATTTAGGCGGATGATGAGTGCGTCTTCGTTGATCACCAAAGTGACAGTGATGAAGACGTAATGACCACAGATGAGCAAGAAGCGTTTGAAAGTTGAAGAGAAGCTACAGACATCTTCTGATGACAGTGAGTTTCCAACTCTACTTTCACAGGAACCCTAGTGCTAAGCATCTGCCTTTTAGCTGCTCCTATTCCTCGTCCTGAATCTATCGATGCCCGCCTTTGTTACGTTGTCAAGCAAAATGATACTGTGGTGGACGAAATCCTTCGTAAAATGTGGCAGTATATTCAAACGTATACTGTGAGATTCAAACCGGTGGGAATTGGAAACTCTTCTATAAGCAAATACATATGTATCACAGTCTTGTCTAGGAAGTTGACGAAGAAGGCATGCCAGTTTGGTACATTATGGACGAGTTTGGTGTGAGAATATCGCACTCGGATACTCCAAACGTTCGAGTCGTACCGCTGTATTTTATACCGCACAATGCTGCTTACAGTGTCATATTTCTGACAAAGGAAGGTTGCCGATGGTGGTGAGTACTGTCTAATGGCTGAGATACCAACACTCAAAATATTAGAATGGTAAAATTAATGTATACACATACAATTTCCTCGTAGGTAGCTCTTGTATCCTCTATAGCTCATGCCTTACGGACTAGACGAAACTCTCAGTCAGTGGCAATTTCGCATTCGTAGAACTCCAATTAGGGGTTTAAAAGCTTCATCTCGTCGCACGGTCTCCGCCCACTTAGAGACTCCGTCCCTCTACAAAGGCGACCACCTGCAGCCAGCACCATGAATGAATTTTCACTAGTTGTTACATATCATACGTGCAATATGGACTCATTTTCTCTGGCAGAAGTAGTGGTCCCACATCAAATTCAGTCAAGTAGTTTTTTGCTGATATGAAAAAGGACCATAGGAGCCTGCTGACTGCTGCGGTAGTTTCCCGAGATAATAATCCATTTTCTTCATTTTCGGATTTTCATATTTTTTCTTTTTGTTTGCAGATCATATGCGTCACCGGGTAGACTGGATTTCGGGAATTTCTTCATTGTGCTCTACAGTACTAAAGATAAGAATAAAAGCGTTCATGATAATTAATCGACTTATTCAAAAATACTTCTAAATGTTGATGTAATGTGGAAAAACTCGTGAGATGCTTCCACAATTCCGCATGCCAAGAGCCGGGGACACGGTTCGCGACCAGATGAATGGAAATCTTTGCCTAGGCCTAGGAAGGATTTTAGGGTGGATGACCAGGTGCAAAATAATGGATTGAGTGTGGGCAAGACGTGTAATGTAGGACACTCACCGGTCCTTATCAAAAGTGCCCAACGCCCCTACACATTACCTTATCCTTGTGTTAGAAACTCTGGAAGTGCACACAATCAGTTGCGCTGAGGACAAGATAACAAGAAGTGCCCCCTCCCCTCTCCCAACTCCATTTTCACCGCGCCACTATTACCTCACCGTTCTAAAATCCAAGTTACCTCTGAGAATTCGTTGAAATGTATACGTTTTCAAAGTTGCGAGAATTCTCTCAAATTTTATCAAATCATTTTCTTATTTTCTGTTGTTCAGGTTTCAAGTGATGAGCACACTAAAGGGTAAGCTTATCAGGGGAATAGTTTCTTCGAGATGAGCCACGCTCTCGGCTTTCATTGGAAATCGTGATGGCGTTTGTATGCTTGTTTATCCTGCCTTCTTACGGGTCTGCAAGCGCTCACACCAATGTTTATCTTTTTACATATGTGTACTGCTAACTGGCCGATCTTGCATTCATGGGAGCAACTGATTGCTTGGAGCTTGAAACAATAAGGGATGCAAGGACTATACGATAGCGTGAGATCTGCTCGAGAACCGACTGAGATATTGAAGGCAGCGGTGGCGAGGTTGAGAGGCAGAAGCGAGTTGGAAACCTCAGTGTTGGAAGGTCTAACCATGCCTTTGCGCGCTCTCGACCTCTTCCCACCTCTGATATGTCCAACTCATCTTCGTCTCTCAGCCATCACGACCGTTTTCTTGGAGCAGTAAGGTCAGAATGTGGTCAAATGAAAGCATAAATAAATTCGGCTATCTCGCCATTTTCTCCCACAGCAGCTTCCGCAAGCCACTTTTATCTTGAGACCTCATTATTTTTTGTTTTTTGCTGAGCTTTTGAGGGAGGCGCCATCCAAGCCTATCCTTCTTGTTGCTTACTCCAATCTAGGACTGACTTGAGGATTTAAGAAAAAAACCGAGATGATCATTGGGTGGTCTCGTATGGCGCTCATTACGCTAAATACCAATCCAAGTACCAAAACGATTCTGACTATCCACTACGAAAGCTTGATCGACCTCTAGAAATTTGTCATCGAATCATCGTTATTAAATCAAATCCTGAAACTACCAATTGCTACTAACATTTCTCGAATATTGCTTAACTTTTTCCCTTCAGGAGTCACTAGCGACATTCCAGGTACACTAGAAAAAACCCGAAGCAAGTTATCGAATGAAAGTTAACTAGATGAAATGTGAACGCACCCCGTATTGCTAACGATGTAGATATTTGAAGATTAGTCTGTATTTCCCCTTTGAGCAATTAACATGTGCATTTTACTTTTGTTATGTTATCAACGAAGTCTTGCTTGTTTTCCAGAAGAAATTTGCCGTGATTATGCCGATAATGCCCTTGCGCGACGACAGCCGGATTGGCGACGTTTTCTGTTGGTTCCTTGGTTGGAGAAGGAGTTCGAGTTGAAAGAGGAGATACAGCGTCATCCACCTGACGAGAATTTCTTCATTGTGAGAAACATTAATTTATTTGGCTCTATTCCTTACATGTTTGAAAATTCACAACTTTTGGCTCTATCGAAATCTCTACACTTTTTTCACGATTACTTTTGCATATTGATTTTTACATTACGAGATTCGAAACAATTGAATATTGTCTACTATGTATGAGTGGCTCCTTTCATCCTACCTTTCCGTTACGATTCGAAAAATCTCAAGGATTTCGGAATTATTCCTGCCTCTGGTCCACTGAGTGGCTATGAATTAATTGACGCTCAATTATTTTTAGTCTGGCCGTTCACTGGACATGCTTCCTTCTGAAGCCGCTCAACAAGTGGCAGCTGAAGCGATCAAGAAGCGCGACTTGTCACGTCCCCTTCGAATCTATGCTGATGGTCTGCAAATGATTGAGAGCTTATCGGAAGTGAAGTACGAGGAAGTCAGCAATTGGCGAAATGCTGATGTTTTGTGGCTGAAAAGGCATTTCCGTGAATACGAGTTAGTCATTTTTCAGTGCCGTTTATCTTCTACGTCTTTTTTTTGAATTTTTTTAAATAGGCTGTGTTTTTTCATAATGGAAAGGCGGGATGAATATTAAGGTTACTAAGCAAGCCTTTGTGGCCTATAAAGTAGGAGTATAAGTTTTTTTTTGAATTTGGTTGGAAAATCAAGGATTAGGTTGCTATGGTAATATGGGCCAATAGCGAAGAAGAAAAGAGGAAAAGAAACTTGAGAACTGTAACAATAAGGCCCCACATTTTTCTCGACGTGAAAGGTTCTGAGGGGTATGCAGCGAGATAAGAGATAAAGAATGGGGAGAAGGAAAGAGGTTGTGGCTAGAGAGCGTGGATACGAGCGAGAGCAGATTTGGCCCATGACGTCAAGCACTAGGAACCCGTCTACTAGTTAGAATGACCCGTATACTTGTCTAACCGTCAAGTTTTCTACGCCGAGGCATCACAGCTCACCAGGAAGGTCTTTCAGGGCGTGACAAGCTTTTTGAAAACGGTCTTTTGCATGATATAGGGGCAGATGCGGGAACCACAGAACCATGTTCAATTTTTCCTGAACGGCCCTCTGAATACCAGAAAAGGAGGTCCCTAGTTCGATTCCTCGTGGTAACAAATTTTTGCATTTCGAGTTGACGTGCCAAAATTCGCGCAAAATGGAGTTAGAACCAACCAGAACAATCAGAACTCCATTTTGCGCGAATTTTGGAACGTCAACTCGAAATGCAAAAATTTGTCACCAAGAGGAATCGAACTAGGGACCCCCTTTTCTGGTATTCAGAGGGCCGTTCAGGAAAAATTAAACATGGTTCTGTGGTCCCCGCATCTGCCCCTATATCATGCAAAAGAGCGCGTCACGCCCTGAAAGACCTTCCTGGTGTCAGTTCCAGGTTGTGCTTTTAACTTTTTTACTTCACACCAATTGTGTCGTGGAAGAATAGATTGATCAAATGCCTTTCTTGATCACGAACCGAATGCATGGCGCATCCCTAAAGAACTTCCTTGAGAACTTGCTGCTTTCATTGCCATCATTGTCATTGAACTCTTTGCAGCAGTCTTTGTGCAGACAACCCATCTGCACTTGTAAATCAGTTCCCTCACGAGAGTTGTCTTACTGTGAAAGACCTTCTGTCAGCTATTCTCATGGACCAAAGTTCGGGCGAAGGGCCGGCTTGGTTTCAGGTTGGTTCAATGGGATTTGGTCGACATTATTGTGATATTACCCCTATTTTTAGACATGTTTCAATTTAAACACGGAGCTGCCCCAGTTCGTGTCCTACTTCCTGCACAGGAAAGCAAAGTGGGTTTAAGCTCCCAGTTTACTTGGAAAAGTTGTTGAAGCGGAGTGGCTACGATGTTTTCAATCAGAGTGAATGAATTGATTAATTTAAATGGAAATAATTCAGGGGTCTTGAAAATATTTGGATTATCAAACCGTGGAACTTGGCCCGCGGTATGGACATGTTCGTTTCGGATGATATTCGACAGATCATTCGCCTAACCGAAAGTGGACCAAAGGTCAGGTCACGTTCAAGCTTTATAAGTCGTTACTGGTATTTAGATTAGCGTACTCTGTAGCAGTCTATTTTTTGGTACTATTTACCCTTTACTGGCCACATTTCGAAATCTGAGCCCCATTTTGATTGAAATTTGTCCATGACTGTGGATTTGGCTGTATCGTTACCTTCGAGGTTAGTTTTCGCAGAACGAACATTACGCCAAATAAGCGCAAGAACGCTTGGAGGTCGCGCTATGGGCGCGGGCTCTTGTGGAACAGGCTACAAGCTTATTCACCTCGAACTAGTAGTGTGACATTCCACTCCACGAGTCATAATTCTCCTGCCGACAAATTTCCTAGCGAATTTGGTGACCCAAGGTGTTGTGGCGCCTATTGGCAGCGGCGCTTGTGGCACGAGCGCCAGGCATTTCCGGGCTAAACGAATTTGGCATTCGTGTTCGAATTGGACTGTCCCGAAGGTGAGTTCCTCTCCAAAGCCTTAGTCATGGACAAATTCCTATAAAAATGCGGTTCAGTTTCCGTGGAGTGTGGCGGTTAAGAGTAAATATAATAGGAACTATTTTTCTAAATTTCTGTTTTGACAGTATTATACTGTAATTGCAGATTGCCTGTAAATACATTGAACATCCGGTTCTATTCCCTAGAGCTGACAATCAGTGTATGGTTAAATTCGATCTCCGGTACATCGTGTTTGTAACCCAAGTACGACCTCTACGTGCCTTCGTATACAACAATTTCTGGATTCGATTCGCCATCAAGTAAGTCTTTGATTTTTACTCGTTTTGTCGCTGAAGGCTGAGGTGGAATATGTCTCTGATGGCGTAACGGTAGCACTATTGCCCGGTCAGCGTGAGGTCTGGGTTCAATTCCCTACCGGAATAAGGTGTTTTGCGTCCAATGCATTTTTGAGATAGATTGATTTTACCGTCATTTGTTAAATATGTTTCTTTTTTTGCATCTTTTAAGTCATGTGGCACAAGTACGGTAGACATTGCAACAATTTTGTTTAATAATTTTATTCAGCGAATTTTCTTTACATCGACTCGACGACATAGATACCCACTTCACAGTTTTCAACTATGGCGATGACGATAAGGTTCTGCAGGTAAATTTTTTTGATCAAATTTGGTTGCCTCACAAATTTTATCCCAATTTTTTTTTGAAGATGAAATGCCCGGACTTCATCAAACAAATCGAAGCAGCGCATCCTTGTATCAAATGGTCCACTGTTCAGAAGCAAATAAACCAAGTTTTGAGAAACGCCCTTAGACGCCGCTTGCAAGTGCGTAGTTTTCACTTTGTTTTTCTGTTGTGAAATAGTGTGCAATAAGATTTACTCGTGCTTTCCAATGAAATTTAGGTGGGATCCACCACGTGGAATGGCGAAAAATGTGCAATCAAGAGCCATGTACGGTGCTGACGTCATGCTTCAATGGACTGGTAAAGGTAGGTGGTAAGTTAATTTGCTATCGCAAGCTTCGATGGCCGATTGGCGTCGCAAGAATGACCAAATTACATGCTAAGAACAGAAAAAGTGTACTTTTCATGACGTCATTGACCAAGATTCGCGCGCTGGGAAGTTTTACTGCAAGTGGTTCCTGAATAGGCTCTGTGATAGGATTGAGGCCTGTTGTTTTTTATCATGACCTAGAAGTTGGAGACTGCTATGCCAAAGCTTGAGAAGGGCCTATGCGTATCATAATCGGAGCATGAGGTGCTGCACAGTACGCCTAACTCAGCACATCTAGGCGTCTGCTCCGTTGATTGGCGGGAATGTTTTTAACACCTTGACGACAGCGCGGCAACTAGGTTTGCCGCGTTTTGCACGCCGCAATGGACATTGTGGCAACTATAGTTGCCACACCCTTTACATTCAGTTTTTTCTTGAACGCGCCATTTCTTCCCAGGTTTTTTGTGTTCATTTTTTAGGCCATACCACAACATAACCAAGAACCACGCGGCTTATAGAATGACCAAATATTCTTTAGTTTGGCAGAGTTTTGCTTTTCCGGACGAAAATATCCGTTCAGTTCATTCCTC